AGGGAGACTGCACACACAGATCATGATTACTTGTCCCAACTGCCACAGTTCTTCAAAACCACCCACACAACAACACAGCCAGCATACACAATAACCCCAAACATCACACTGAAACCTAAAATGTCTTGTTGAGTCAGTGTAGAGCAATGGAAATATCTACAAGCACGGCTGAGAGCTCTTTTTGTTCAGAATATTACTAGGTTCAGTCATCACTGGGATTCACAGTCTGTTGCCATCAAATTTTTACATTTTCAGACTTTTTCAGCTTTTTTATACACCTGACTTTACATATTACATCCATGAGGCAGCCCGAACTTTTAACTACTGATAGACTGGCAGGCAGGGACCAGCTTTTCAGTATATGCATGTACCGTGCCTAGCACAATGAGATCCTAATCTCGGTTTAGAGCAATATAAATAATAATAATCTGCTACTTAGAGTGATGGAAAACTCAGCTTTGCCTTATTTTGAACCCACTCATGTTCTCAAAAGTTTGATAAAACTAAAATATTTTGAACTGGGATTCTGCTTGAAGACAAATCTTGTAAGAAAATGAGCAAAGAAAATATCCAATAAAAATTATGTTGAAAACTGAAGCAGAGAGCCAGCAGAGCATAAAACAAATATAAAGGAATAGTGAAAATAGGAGCAGAAGAGAAGAAAATAAAAAAATTATAATAAAAATGATAAAAATAAATGACATATGTGAGATATACAGGCCAGCCACTTGTGCCAACCTGCTCTTTTGGGGGAGAGCAGGGGGGTTCTTGGCTGTGTTTCCATCACGCAGAGCTCCTTGAATCCAAGCACTGAGATTCAGGATTGAGGTACAGTAGATGGGATGGTCTAAGGAGACAAGTTTCAAATCTGGATCATGCTGAGGTTAGATTAGGAGGGTTTACATTTGCATTCAGTGATACTGCAATCTAACAAGTTGTTCTCATGGCAGTGTGGTACCAAATGGCAGGAGCCTGGGGAAATCAGCTGTCCTTGAGAGACTTTGGTCATCTCAAGCAGTCCGCAAGAGATTTCAGCCACATCCAAATCACTGCTGGAAAATAAGCCCTAGCCAGTTTTGTATCTGACCACACTGTAGTCAGGTTCATACTTAGGGATCAAATCCATGGGCAATCCAAATTCAAATGAGTTTGAATTTGAGGTTCTGGTTGTGGCTCTCTTCTAATAACCATGAACTTTATTTAACATCTCTGGAGCTTTGTTAGGACAGTGCACATGCAGAGCAAAGTCTTGCCCAGCAAGCAATGGCCTCAGATCAAAACCTGGGATGGATCTTTGACTATGGTCTGTTCTTTAGATGATCCAAAATCCTGCTCAGAAATCTGAAGGGGGCTTTCTCAAGACATGGCGTCACTTCCACGCCCGAGAAATGAACACGGGCATCTGCTGATACGATGCGGTCACTAAGCAAATCCTTGGACTTTAGTTTGTTGAATATTCTGGGATGGTATAGTCCGGAAGAGAACAGCTCATCTCAGCTAAGGTAGGGTTAGGGTAGATGTAGTCCTGAATGTGAGGGTATTCCTCACTTTTTCAGAAGGAGGTTAGGATAAGAGATCTCTGTAGCATCTTAAGGAGAGAGATATGGCAGGTGACCTTGTGTGGCTCTCTTGAGTGTATGATAGTCCTTGTTATTTTGATGGCCTGGTATGTGTCAGTATGACAGGGCATGGATAAAGAAGAACATATAATGCATCCGAAGAAGTGGGCTGTAGTCCACGAAAGCTTATGCTCTAATAAATTTGTTAGTCTCTAAGGTGCCACAAGTACTCCTGTTCTTCTTTTTGCGGATACAGACTAACACGGCTGCTACTCTGAAACAGGGCATGGATAGTTTGTTTGTCTATTCTTGAGTGTCGCATCACCAGTGTTTAGGACCGCAATCTTTGCTCTTCTGGGCTGGTCAGTAAATTCTTCATTTTTCCTTTCGGTACTGAGTTGTGATTCCTTAAAGAGCCTATACTCTGAGCTCTTTGTGGCAGGAACTTAGTCTTAATATACGCGTAGAAAATGTCAGGCACATCGTAAACTCTACCGTAATTCAATTAATCTATGTCATCATCATTACCACAATTCGTAGGCTATACATGCTCAGCTGCCAGCCGAACTAGTCTGATACTTGCACAGATATTGTTTTCATTCTAGTTTCATATAAACACCAGTTGTGGTAATATGTGGGGTTTTCTTCAAAGTCCACCTGAAGCATTCAATGTTTGCCTGCCCATCCATTTTTAAACATCATATCTCCTTTGAAAAATCATTGGTTTAAATTACAGGAAAAAATAATTCAAATACCTGAGGTAGTTTTGCAAACCCAGAAATAGTTCCCAAGGTTTGTTCATCCCTAATGGTTAAGGTTTGTAGTGGGAAGAGCCCAACAGACTCAAGTATCCACAAAACATATGGTAGCTATCTCAGGATATACAGTAAATCTGTTTCAGGCAGTCTGGTACCAGAGAAGCCTGGCAGATTACAGGAACATGAAAGGGCTCATGGGATATTAATCTCATCCAAGGAATCTAGTTCGAAATAACCAAAGTTTGTGCTGTTAACCTGAATGCACATGCCTTGAGCACTAAGAGACTTGCTATTATGTCCTACAATCTTTAAAAACACATCTGAAGACATGTTTTTTTTACCCACGAAAGCTTATGCCCAAATAAATCTGTTAGTCTTTAAAGTGCCACCGGACTCCTTGTTTTTTTAAAAACACAGTGACCCAGCAATGACACTCCGTTCATAGGTGGTCACACCCAAACAAAGCATGAATGATTTGAAGTATCAACTTCCCAGTTTTAGGAAACATATATTTCCTTATTGTTTTCTATATATAAAACCAAAAAAAACCTTGTTGTTTTCCTGACCGTGCTATTCTTGTTATTCTTATCATGAATACCCAGATAACTGAGACATAGTTACACACTTATACATCCTCTCTGCTTCCCTACTCTCCGCCTTCAAATTGTTTAAGTTCACAAACAAACCTCTCGTGCCCTAGAGCTGTGGACCCCTCCTACTGTATGTGTGACCCTTCTCTGACTGTCCAGGACCTTTATATCCTGTACTGAGAAGTTCAGCAAATGGATTTGATTTCCTTTTCCCTTCTGTACCATGCAACAAGTTGGACTCGGAATTGTGGTTATACTCAAATGTCACTTTTGATAAACATTTATTTTCAGCAAGGGAGATTATGTGTGCTTGTTTACAGGCCTTGGAATGGGCTGGCTGGGGAGGAAGGGGCTTATACCGAGTGCTTGCAACATATTGATTCTCTTCCATGCTTGTGATAGCCTCAGACTCCCCATAAGAGTCACACTGTTTAGGACTCCAGATTGTGTCTAGCCCTCAGACATCTCAGGCATCAGAAAAAAATGTCAAGGGTGAAATGATTTCCAAGGTCTCCACCCGGATTATGGACCACACTGAAGCAGCACATATGCCCAGGTTGGCGTCAACCAAGGCTCCGCCAGCTGTGCCATCTGTTTTGAAACATGGCTACATTTCACCCATTGAATCAGGAGGCTGATTGAAGGGAATTTTGCAAAGAGCATCTGTGCCTTTGGACAGAGCGGTGCAACGTGCAATGAGAAATCATCATCCCCACCTTCAATTAAGGTCTAAGGTCTAAGAAATATTCATCTCTCCTTGGAATCAAGGCTATCTTTTCAGAAGACACTGAGAACTGCATGGAATGAGTAGCCACCCAAATCCTATGACAAGCCTGCCATTGTTGCTGTCACCACTTCACAAGGGTCTTAGCTACCTTCAGCTGACCTCATGGACTTGAGGCAGGAATTCCTGGGTGACATTCTATGACATGTGTTATACAGGAGGTCAGAGTAGTTGATCATAATGATCCATTCTGGCCTAATAATGTATTAATCTATTTTTTTTTCTACTCTGAACTCAAATTCCAAGGTCCCTGCTTTCGGCTGCTCCAGAAATATCATAAGAAAATTCTTTCTTGTGGTATTTCAGCTCTTATATGTCAAGTCATGGCAATAACGTGGGGGTGGAGCAGTGCATGAAGTTGTAGGCTAATGACAGGAAAAATTAGTGGAACTTTTTTGAAACTCAACAATGGTTCAACTAAGTTTTAATTTGAGTTTTGGAAAGAGATTTAGGCTGAGGGATTCCTATTTGATTTGAACTGCTTCACCCATCTCTGCTATACAGCGTAGATAAAGAGAGATAATGACAAGTCCATTTAATTTATGTTTAATTTGAATTGTCTTTTAAACTAAACATAAATTGAACCTGTTGTACCATTGTGGAAAAGGGCCTGGTCTGTAATAAAGTTCCAATGTTCAGGAGTGTTTGGACACTGGGTTTTGGTTCATTCCCATCACAGACCAGTGCTATTGTTCTTTAAAAATAAAACAACCCCCACCTCTCTATTTCCTCTGTACTTAGTATACTTTATTATAAGATGACAAAGAAGACTGCATGACTCATGATGATGGAATAAAATTCAGCTCATGAATGGGTTTTCCATAATTTTTTTTCACCTATTGTATTAAAACTACATCAGAGGAAGTATTTACATGATCCTTTGGAATTGGAAACAAGCATGACTGAACAAAGCCATAAAATATAGACTTATTTCTATACGTCAAGGGTTGTAATTTTACAAGATGCCTCAGCTACCTGTATAATTCCATGGGTCTTAAAGGTCACTGTCTCAGAGGCATGCAGACAGACAGCGTAAGAACACACTTGGTTGTCTATTTTATTGCACACATTGGGTGTGTGGATATTGGTGTTCTCATGAGTTTCTGTCATACAGAGATTTATTATTTATATAATGAATAAGTAACCAAACCTGTATGTATGTACTTATACATTCCATATGCAGGTTTATTATATTATATGTATCATTATAACCCAATACTGCAGTACATTAGGAAAGCTTTCAAGGTGAGATGGGATAAATAAGAGCTCGTTAGTCATTCTAAGGTACCAAGGCCTCTGAGATCCCTACCTGCCGGGCAGTTACACCTCTGGTGGGTATCTCGAACTTCTCGATGTCTTGGCAAGTTGAACTTTAATTTCTGTAAAGTAAATGGGGAAAAAAGCATCAATAACAGGGATGAAACCCAAACCTTAGCATGTCTGAAAAGTAGGGTGGGAGGAAGCTAATCAATGAGAAAGATGCCTGGTGCTGTATTGAAGGCAGGTAATTAGTCCACAACCTTAAACTTTATACCACATGTCTCTTGATTGAAAGCAGGCAGATAAAACTTCATAATAACCTTCAAGAGTGACCCTTTGGCAAAAAGCCACAATGATGAATTAAGAGGTGACTATGTGCCCACGTGAAGACTGTAATGCTCACAAACCCAACAGAAAACTCTAAATAGCAGATGAAAAATAGAGACAGGTCCTGCTCTCCCAAAGAGCCAGATGCTTGGCCTGCTGGTAATTTTTGTCCAAAGAGATGATCCTAGAGAAGACAGCAACTTTGAAACATTCCATATAGAGCTGGTTGGGCAACGACAAATCTATTTAATAAAAACTTCTGGGGTTTTGAAATGTGTTTCACCTATTGTATTCACCTATTCCATTCCATTGGAACAAAAAGAAAACCATTTGACAATGTCTGAAACAGAGCTGTGTTGAAATGCCCATTTTGGATCAAACATGTCAGGCTTTTGATTTAAGTCTTTCTCTCTCTGGGAATTGACAAGACAGTCCACTCTGGATCTCAGAAATCTGTCTATCAACATCAATACATTTCTGTGAAATGCTAGTTTCTACAAAACACCATTTTCTGAAAATGAAAACTCATTTTGTCGAAAATGTTCTGACCAGCTTTAATTGTATACTCATGAGTGTATTATTAATACACCTATCATGATTTAGAAGAGAAAAAATGAATTCATCTAGGTTGGTTATACATTACTGAGATGCAGGGTGAGCCACACAGGGTCTCTGTTCAGAAGTAGTTTATGACTTACCCCTTTGCTATCTGCATCTTGTTCATGACTGGAGCTGTGGGTGTGTTGATAATTTGAGAAGACTATCCATTAAATAGAGAACTATCTATCTGAATTTTAGGGCAACACTCCCCACTAATCACAGCTAACTTTTAAGAATCATTGTGTATCATATTCACCTGCTCTTGTTATCCACATCTCTGAGAACTTGGGCCAATGTTTCAAAGATAAGTGCCTGACTTTAGGCTGTTATATCCATATTTAGGCTCCTAAATAGGTGACATGATTTTCAAAAGGGCTGAGCACCCAGCAGCTCTTACTGACCTTACTGAGAAGTCAACAGGAACTGATCGGTAATCAGTACTTTTGACAATCATATCACCTATTTAAGAGCCTAAATATGGACTCAGAAGCCTAACTTTAGGCTGCTATTTTTGAAAATCTTGGTCTAGGAAACTAGAATATATCATCCGAGCCTTTTCCTCTCAACATTGATAACTGTCCAAAAATAGGTACTGTATATGTCATATAACTATGTAGTGCTGGTCAAAAACATTCTGATGGAACATTTCATCGAAATAAAAATTTTCCATGGGAATATACTGATTTTGACATAATTTAATTTAAAAAAAGAAAACTGAAACAAAGTGTTTAGATAAAGTCAAAATGGAACTACTTTTCATTTCAAAATTTATCATATAAGGTAATGCAATATAATTAATTAAAAGTCAAAATCAGAAGGAAACATTTCAATTGACCCAAAATGAATTTTTTCCTAAAATTTCATTTCATGGGAAATTCCTAGATTTTTTGTTTTCATTCTGATTCAGAATGAAAACAAATGTCAAAATCATGGAATTTCCCCCAAAATGGAAATTCTGGTTCCCTCATATATAACATGTATACCCTCCAGAGCTAAAAACCTAGCTCTGAATGCCTCTGTACTTTGGGAATGTTGAGATCTGGATCCTAATCTAAATGTTGTGGCTCAGACCCATCTGCAATTAAAGTTCACAGCTGTAGTTTGGTTTTTAATACTCTGAGCTAAATTTCAAACATGGGCACAAATAGGAGATTCATATGCTTTATATGGAATCTTAAATTGGAACAAATGGACATGTATGTTCCCCTTTTCATCCAAGTGCCACTTTAAACATCCAAACACAAAATTTCAACATTTCAGTAAGGTTCCCACATTTGGAAATTGGGCCCTGCATGTCATTTATCTTTGTGAGTTAAGGGATGATGTCACAGTGCATGATTTGCATGGACAGGAGTGTTTTGTGACAAGTCATTCTCTAACTAGTGAAGATTAATGCTCTGCCTGGAACTCGGCTCTTTGATGTACTATTTATAGAACAGAAATATTAAAAATGTAAAAAGGATCTGTCACTCAAAATTGCAGAGGACATCCAGGCTGTCAAAAGAAATTGACAGTGACACACAACTAGTGGAAATAAACATTTATTTAATCAGCAATTTACTTTGCTACTGTAGAAATTTGTGCAGAAAAAGTGATGACCCACCAGACTCTGGAAACAGAAATACAGAACTCACCAGAGCCTTATTCACTGAGTGTGAAGAGTGGAATGTACCTAATGTACAGTACTGTTTAAATCATCTATAAGATCACTGTGATAGCACCATATGTTCCCCTGGAGTTTAAAAACAAAATTACAAACAGATAGTTAGAAATGGCTGGGAGAGCTTAAAATCTAAGAATTTATAAAGGGCGCTGATAGAAGGCTTGTCCCTTTTCTCCCAGAGGAAAGCTCTACAAAGTTCCCATTGTGGAGTTTCCTTCAAATTCTCCCACTGTGGTTTGATCCGCCGGAGTGCGCAGCTCCGCCCCCCCAGAGCACTGCTTTGCCGCGTTATATCCGAATTCGTGTTATATTGGGTCGCGTTATATCGGGGTAGAGGTGTAATTGGTTACAAACTTGTCCTGAGTTTCTGGAATTGCAGTTCTCATGCTCTGATTAGTTCCCTGTGTGTTTGCAGCTACAGGCTACAAGTTCTACTCTTGGTCCTGTTTGTCTGTGGTTATCTGGCAACTACTGTGCTTATAGTTATGGAACCACCCATCACTATGTGCCACGGTAGCTGTGAGCAGAAGGCAAGATGTAGTGTCTGGGAGTGGGCAAATAGAACAAAAAAGTCTATCTGAAATACATGTTGGAAATAGCAAATGAAGCTGGCAGTGAGTTTCCTTGAAGGTGATAATAGATGGCAGCTTACTGCTAACTAACTTATAGGGCCTTATCCAAATCCAGTTGAAGTTAATAGGAGTCTTCCATTCTTCCTTTCCAAGTGAGTGCTTGGTTGGGATGTGTCCTAGCTTAGGGGAAACAGGGAGTGGTACTTGGGAGGGGGTAAACTAGAGCAGTGTTTCCCAAACAGTGGGTCCCGACCTACAAGTGAGTTGCGGAAAGGGTCTAGATGGGCCGTCATGTACAGGGCTGGATTAACCCATCACTGGGCTCTGGTCTAGGCAAACATATTTCTACTGCCCCAGTGCTGAAAGAAGGCCCTGGGAAGGTTATGGAGGGTTGGAGAGTGAGCCCACTACACAGCGGACTCCTGTCCCATAGGGCTGGGCCTAGCTCACTGTTCCAGGCATTGTGACCTGGCACACAGGGCTGCAGCACCCCTCAGGGTTGGCCCAGCTGTCACTCCAGGAGGGGTGGCTGGACCATACCTTAGAGGTGCTGCACCCTCATGCACCAGGTCAGAATGCCACACACTCAAATTTGGCCTCTCCTCTCCTCTGTCATGAGTGAGTGAGTACAGGTAAGGGCAGGGCAGACTCACTGTCCAACCCCATGCCATGCCCCTGGGCGTCCCCTCCACACTGGCCGGGATTAGGGCTGTGGTGCCGGGGGAAGGTGCATATATGTAATGTTGGGTCACAAAAAAAAAAAGGCCAAATGCAGCTGATGCGTCACCTTAGTCAAACATTTGGGAAGCACTGGATTAGAGGTCTTGAGCAGCTACAGTTGTTTTGGTTCAGGAGGAGGGTAAAATCATTTCCTGCTCCATCCCCAACTTCTAAAGGAAACAGATTCTAGAGAATTGTAGCCAATCAGAAGAGTTCAAAGACTAGTAGCATCGCTAATAGCTCGTGTGATTTTATCTCAAGTCTCATGGTATTTGGTGTTCTTATAGCCCCACCTCCTGGAGCATGTTACCTGAGCATGTGAGACTCTCACATTAATTTTTTTTAAACGTGTCTAGCCCCCTTGGTTGCAAAGAAATGCCTTCAATAGTGAGCTCTACAAACTCAAGAACCAAAAGGCAAATAAGTAGAAACCAAAACTTATTTTGTAAAATTTCATGATTTTAAGGCAATCTCATGATTTTGGGACCTTTCTCATGATTTTTGAATGTAGGGGATTGGCAATGCTGAGATGGAGAGCCAGGGGAAGGTAGCACATAGTACTAAAGGCACCGCAGCTTGGCACTCGCTGACCATTAGATAGCAAGAATCAGGAGGTTTAGTTCCCTGAACCACTTAAATGAAATGAGAGAAAATCTTCAGATGGGAACAGAGAAGGAAAATATACCAGGAGTTCCACTGCTAGGCACCTTCCCCAAGGCTGAGAAAATCAGAAGTCTATACCGACACATAGAAAAGAGCACTGATCCATTCTCCGCTCCTCCATCTCTTTTAAAAGGTGACAAATGGACTCCGTGACATTGGATACATGGCTGAGTTGTATTTTGTACAGGTACAGAGTGGCAGTAAAGTCAACTCTCTGTTTCCTGGGAGTTTTCAGGATGATGATTGTTTTTAATTTATGCAAAAAAGATGAATTCCCAACTCTGGAAATTCACCACTTCTTCATGTATTGTGAGCAGGTAGCCCTGAGAACACCCTGTGTTCCATCCTACTGAGCTTTTGGCAAGAAGAGACAAGGCCACATGTTCACCAGCATGGGGAAATTCTTCGTTTGCCTCTTTTCAAATCACTGCCTCGGCTTTCAGTGCCAACTGTACAGTTTATTTGCACTTTTTATTTGATTTTTCTCATGCACCATAAATACAGAGGAATTCTAGCCTGCAGCCAAAGTTTTCTCAGAAACATCCATATCAGTCCTAGTCAGCGCAGACTTTTTCAGGGAAAGACATAGAACCCATTCCTGGCTGACAGAAAATTCCAGCCCAGTATTTACTACACATGACCATAGTGAGAAGTTTTGACAGTAGCTAATGAAGTCTGCACTAGTCAGACTGGCTCTGTAGAGGACTGCCCACCAGTCTGTTAATTCTATTGGATGGAAGGAAGGAATAGCAGTGTAGCCAACACTAAGTATGAGAGTTAGGTTAAAAAAAATCATGAGATTTGATTAAAAAACACGAGATTTTAAAAAATGATAAGTTTTGATTTCTTTTTATTTGCCTTCTGGTTCCTGAGTCTCTCGAGCTTTTCTCTGCAACTATGACAGCTAGAAACTTACATTAAAAAAACATGAAAGCTGAGATTCTCATGTAATGCCCTGACCCCAGGAGCTGTGGCTTTAGAAAGACAACAAATATCACAAGATTTAGGATAGAAATGTGAGAGTGGGCAGCACTGGAACAACCTGAACTGGAGGTAGATGCTCACGTGGAATAGCTTGTGGATACAGCTCCTGGGAAGAAGAGGAAATTGAAATGGATGAGAGTGGCTTTCTGTTGTGCTGAATGTGTTTCTCCAGGTGATTCCTCACTCTCCATGGGAAGCAGGAACGGGCCCTTCACCTGGGTGTAAGCGGCACAAATGTTCTCTGTGTGAGTGAGAATCTTGCTAGATCACTTATGTATTTAGGCACCAATTCTCTGTTGCTCCATTCCTGCTCTTCACGGAGGAACGGGGTGTGGATGGGGGGACATGTGGCTACCAACCTCCTTCACATCCCCATGTTTTCAGGGAAGCTGGGACTCTTTCATGCCCCTGGTGCAAGCTAGAACTTACAATATGACTGCACTGGCTGCCCCCAGGCAAGAACACCTGGACCAGCTCCAGGTAAGAGCAGCCAGAGTCCAGCATGGTCCAACCACACCCTCGCCTTTTGTTTTTCCCTGCCTGCCCTGGCACACCTCTTACTCCTTGTGGGGATGGCAGTGTGGAGCCATTCTGGCAGATATAAGCTAGCTGAGAAACCTGCTTACAAAGGACTAGTCCCAGAGTGCCATTGGTATTCCCTTTATGCCACCAGAGCACAGGTGAGAACTGAGCCCTTAGTCTTCCCAATGTGCTTCTCCCATAAAGGTATGTGATGGTAACTCAGCTTGAACATGCACAGGGAAACATAAAATGACACACAATCACAATCCACTCTCAAGCATATGCTCACCCATATAAACACCTCACCACACGTCCATTTACAACACACTTGCATACATGCACCACACAAACTACACATTCACAATAAACACACAAACACATGCCGTAACAGTTCTCATACATACATCGACTTTACATCCACACACAGAGAACACACAGCCACATGCATGTGAATCCAAGCCCAATACATGTACACACACACTCACAAAATCCCCAGTCCACAAATACAGGTGTCCCCCCAGCCTCACCCCCTGACACAATTGAAAGCCGGGCTGCTTCACTCCATGTTCTTCTCCTTACCCCAGCAGTTCCCCCCTCCCCCAATTAGGATGGATTCCATAGCTTTGGAAGTCTGGGGATTTTTTAAAAAACATTATTTTGTGCTGAATTCTATGAAATTGGCAGCTGTATAACTCATTAAGGTCAAAACATCGAGGGAGAGTGTAGTTTGTCCAGGAGGATGTGGCCGTAAGAGGCCTGATGCTCTGAAAGAAAAGGGGATGAATATGCTTCCTTGCTCACCCTTCCTCTAAAGTGATCTCCCAGACTCTCATATTCCACCAGTTTCTGTCTCCATCTCTTGCTTTTCCCATTCCTGTTCTCCCTCCCTTTCAATCTCCTTTCTCAGTCTCCCTTTCTACTCTCCTTTATTTGTCTCCTCTATGCTTTTGCTCTGTCTCTTTCCTTCTTATCTCTTGACATCCTTCCTGGGGACTTGTGTCGCTAAAGTGTTGAACTAGCTATTAGAAGAGAAAACATATAGTTTACTGGGTTTGATTCTCCTCTCACGGACACGGGTGTAAATCAGGAATAACTCCATTGAAGTAGATGCAGTCACAACAGTGTAAATCTGGTGTAACAGGAGAATCAGACTCATTTTCAACTAACTTCTTTCATTGAGTTCTGTTATAATTTTGAAGCTTTCACAGGGCAATGTCCTAGCAGTGCTGTCTGGTGCGCCAGCTTCCTTACACCAGTGTCCTGTCAATACCAGCAGGGACTTCAGCGATAGGGACTTCCTTCATATTCCCATTCTTCCAGGGTCAGCTGGGAATTGAACAGTGTGTGAGCCTCTTCATGGCAGTGCCCCACATAGGTCAGTAGGATTTTAGCAATGTGATCTACTTCACAGAAGTGCATTACTAGGACTCCAGCAGTGTGGGCTTGTAGCGTTGTGCCCTGCCAATCCCAGCTAGGAGTTCAACGGTGTGAGCTTCCTCACAGCAGTGCCATATCAAAGTTAGCTATTAAAGAGCTCATCTGCAAGCTAATCAAGCTGTCAAAGAATCATCCACAGATATCAAGCACTCAGAGTCATTACATGCAGTACAGCGATATTTTATCCAGAACCCCCCATTATTTTAACCTGTGCCAAAAATCCTCTCTCAGAGTATGATGAGACAATGGCAGAGTCACGGTGCTGCTCTTATTCATTGTTTGCTGGTGTTCCAGGGGAATGCAGCTCTCAATGGTTTTATTACTTTGTTCCTTGACTAGTTTCCTAATATTGCAATATGTGAATGAAATAATGGAGCACAGTGGGCTGCAAAAACTAGCTCCATTTTTATAAGCTAATGGGTCTGACACCAGTCCTTTCCATACCCCACATTTATACGAATCTGTGATACTTCTGACCTGAGCAAAACCTGGAGTGGTTTGCACAGTGAAAGAGAAAAAAAAGACCTAGCGTGCTCCCTCCTTCTCATCCCCACCCTCCTTGGATCTCTCTGGGTATCACAGAATATCCTCCCTGATCGTTTGAGTCAGTGCATACCAAAGTTGGGCATCTTTGACGGGTTTGGACAAGTGAGCACCCATCTAACTTCTAGCACTTGTCAGAACCACAGCAAAACCCACAAGCTGTACAGGATTTTAAAAGTTGGCCATCAACAACAATTGAGAAGAACAAATGCATTGTATTAACAGGAGTGTCCTATGTAAGACTAACTGTCACGCTCTACTGGGCACTGGTGAGGCCTCAGCTGGAGTACTGTGTCCAGTTCTTGGCACCACACTATAGGAAAGATGTAGACATATTAGAAAGAGTCCAGAGGAGAGCTACAAACATGATAAAAGGCTTAGAAAACCTGAGCTATGAAGGTTAAAAAAACTTGGCATGTTTAGTCATGAGAAAAGAAGACTGAAGGAGGACCTGATAACAGTCATATACATTAAGGGCTGCTTTAAAGAGGACAGTGATATATTATACTGTATGTCCACTAAAGGTAGGAAAAGAAGTAATGGGCTTAATCTGCAACAAAGGAGATTGAAGATAGATATTAGGAAAAACGTTCTTACTATAGGGATTGTTAAACTCTGGAATTGGCTTCCAAGGGAGGTTGTGGAATCTCCGTCACTGGAGGTTTTTAAGAACCTGTTGGACAAACACCTGTCAGGAGTGGTCTAGGTAGACTTGGTCCTGCCTCAGTGCAGGGGGCTGGATTAGATGACTCTCGAGGTCCCTTCCAGCCCTACATATCTATAATTGTATGATTAGAAACATGAAGTGGGTACATGACAATAATGAAATGGGAGATCTTTCAGGGTTGGGGGGTTTATCTCTGAGCTTTCAGATGCACAATATGACTCATTAATCTATTGGTCTGTCTGGCTAAGAGTTTTTGACAGGAGCTATCATGGTAGTATCTAAGAATCTGATCCACAGCCCAATGGACTCCACAGACAGACTCGCATTGACTCTAGTAGTGTTTGGATCAGGCCCTAAGTGCTGAAGCCAGAGAAGAGCTCGGGGGTATGAACTTCTGTTAATACCTAGAAGGACTCTAGCAATATTTGTCTTTTTATTTTCCAAACTACTGTAAAAGTAGTTTGGATTGAAATAAAGGGGAATTTCTTCCAAACTGCTTTGAAACAAAGCATCTAGGAATCAGCTCATCATCATATTTACCTGTCTCTGCCTGCTGCTTTTCCCAGTTTCCCTGTCACAGTATGGGTACCTTTGCTACTATCACCAGGCTGTTCCCAGGCATGTTCAGTTCAGCTGGTGATGAATTTTTCTATTTGTTTTAAACTGTTAATGTGATGTTTAAATCTGGTCTCTGAATTGCACCCTGTGTACCTATCCCTACTGGTATCCTGTCATCTCATGTGAATCGAAACCCCCTCATTACCAGACTGAAGCTAAAAACTGATGCTATAAAGGGGCCCTTTCTTGGGGAAAAGAAACAAAACCCTCTAATTTTAAAACCGTGGAAGCTCAGACAAATCATAGACTTTGTCAGACAGAAGCAAAATCTGAGCTGCTTATAAAGAAGGAGGGCTAAAGGGGAGCGATCTGAGGGGATTCACATCTTAATGAGTTAACTGGCACTCGGCTGTATCATTTGCTTAGAAAATTCTTTAAGCAAAATAGAAAAAGCTAAAATATATATTTATATGAAAATGAAAGCACACAGACCTCATCAAGCAGTTGGTCAACTCTTCCCAAAATAGCTGTCTCCATTTGGTCTGCAGAGAGCCAGGCAGGGAGCTGAGTGCATCTGTCTGCTTCCAAATGTGAAACCCTGGATTGCAGGTCTGATGTCCTAAAGTATAGCAGGAGGCTCAGCACCAGAGAAATCAAAGACACCCCAGGAAGCCCAGAGCCCAGCAGTAGAGGAAACCTGCAGCATCTTTCTCCATCCCCTGTCCTGGGGGGAGCAATGCACCCCCTGTCAAAGGCACTATTGCTAGCACCTTTCCAGCCCTTCTCCTCCAACATTCCCTCCCTCTCCTGAGAAACAATAAATAAATAAATAGAATAAATAAAGTTTCAATCCCACTCCAAGAAGAACAATCCAGAATTCATGGAAGAGCAGCGTCCGAGGGAATCCCAATGCCACTGAATAATAGAAATGATAACAACAACAACAACAACAAAATTGTATGGATAAAAAGGGGAAAAAAGTGATTTAAAAAAAGAAAGGATCCAACTCCAGAAAAGTTTTGGGGAAAATAATCAGATCAGTTTGTGTCTTTCAGTCTTTTTCGTTTGTTGTTCTTTTCCTCTCCCTCTAGGTTTGTCAGTTTCAGTTCCTTAGCAGAGTGGTTAAGAGATTGCACATGAAAGTCCCCATTAGAGAGAGGTAATTCTCAACTGCTTTGGAGTTGCACTGTGGCTGATCCTGGCTTCTCTGTAACATGACACACTCTCTCTGAACTACACGGATCGGATGAGCAAGCTGTACTGCTTCCCAAAGTAACCTCCTCTGCTCTCCCTCTCTCTCTTTCTCTGTGCAATGATTTATTTATTTATGCAAAGTTTCTGGGTGGGATCAGACCCTGCGACGCCCCCATCCCCATCAGTCCCCAAAGCACCTCTCATCAGCTACCCCTTCCCTTTGAAGTGACACTCACTGCAGTTATTTATAGCAGCAGGAAAGAGATTGTAAAGCAGAGGCAGGACTCACACTTCTTTCCTTGTCTCACACCATGGTGTTGTTTTAACTTCCTTCATAGGGGACTTTATGATACTGCCACAAATGGGTCCTGGTTTCTGGACAGATCTGGTGTTTTGAACTTGTCTGGGATGGAAGTAACTGAGAGCAGAACTTCACCCTGCTTTCAGGTTGTTCTGCAGTGAATCTTCCACTGGCTTCTTTCTTGGTGTGGAGACATGTAGGTTAATTTGGCGCAGGTGTTTCAGAAGAGCAGCTCGCTGATGTGGGACAGGAGGGAAATAGCCAAAACTCTGAACAAGGTCCACAAAAGCCACATGGGATCTAACTTTCAGCATGCAGCTGAACTGAATGGGGTCTGTCCTTTCAGCATAGAAATTGAATATAGATCCCAGATATCTTCAATCAAACCTATGTTATGGCTCAAAATGGAGGAGCTAGAGAATGTGTTGGGAGGGAAGGGGATTACTGCTTGGAGGGCTCAGACTGTCTCTTAAATGCTCAGATTTCAGTCTGCAGGCAGCGTACCTTGTTTTCTGATCATGTTAGGTCTATAACCTAACCGTGATTGGCCACGGTCAGTTGTTGGACAGGACGCCTCCCATGACACACTCTGGTGGTGCAGGAAGTGAGGCTGATGATTCAGTATGTATTGTTCTCCTCTCCAAGCATAGGGTTAGGGGGCACCAGGCTGCTTGAAGTACTATTTTTTCAACCAGATGTAAAAAATGAGGCTCTTATCACTTGCAGTCATTACAGATCCTGTGTCACTTTCTGTTAAAGTAAAAATATGGGTCCTGGCCAAATTCCAGCTGAGGTAATTACGTTCTGTCTGCCTATGTTCCCTTTGCAATTCAAACTGGGTTCTGTATTATTCATTTTGTTATCTAAAATATAATATAATTTATTATTATTATTATTAATAATAATATTAATTATTGTTATTATTATACTCTATTAATTACATACCATGTTGCTTAGGATCCCCAGTCAAGGACCAGGACCCCATTGTGGTATGTGTTGTACTAACACAGAACAAAAGATGGCCCTTGCCCCGAGGAGCTTACAATTTAAGTATAAGACAAGAGACAACAGATGGATACAGACAGACAGGGAAGGGAAAGGAAACAATGGCCAGCATGATGGGCAGTGGTCTTGGTGCACCAGCAGCCTGCATTGTTATACAGGTGCTATGTTCCACTGGGGAGATGGCTGCATTTCAGTGGTGGGTGAATTGGTCTTAGTATCTCTCACTTAACTCACATGGGTTTTAATTAACAGCCAGGTCTATATCAGATTTTGCTGGCACAGAGTGTAGCAGAAGTCTGTGGGGACAGCAACTCTGCTAAGGGAGGAGGTTACAGTGGAAAGTGGCCACAAACTTCCTTGCACTGGGGGACCAGGCAGGGGAATGTAGAAGGCCAGTGTAGCCCCAATGTAGGCTGTGCTAGCTGGTGAAAAGGGGTGTCCAGGCAGCCTGGTAGTACTGAACACCCCTTTGCAGTGATTCCTGCTCACAGGATTCCCATGGAGCACCCACTGGGAGCAAAGAAGGATCCCTTCCATAGCAAGCATCCCCAAGAGGGCCCTACTAGTGGAGACACCATCAGCTCTCCATTAGAATTTATTCCCCATGAAGTGCAAAGAGGGTCATTAGTGCTGGACCATCTTGAGTGCTTTGAGATCATGGATTGAAAAGGGGCTATCGATAGACACGCCAAGTACCTCAATCAGTGCAGGCTCTCCTTTGCACTAAGCATTCCAGGAAACAGGATTTCAGCTTCTTGGTTCCCCTTCCCCACGCACCTCTCCGTGTTTGGAGAAGATTTACAGAATGGTTACTTTGTCAGGAGAAGGGATGAGAGCTGTGTAGTGAGCTGGGTAACAGGAATAAAAAGTGGTTCTTTTAACTGCTCTTGCACCCACAGGACTCTGATTAGTTCCACAGAGCTAAATGAACAGCCACTCTGCCCACTCAGGAACATCCCCAAGTCCTGGATAAAGCTCTAAGGGTGAGCACAGACAGGTGAAGGATACCTGAGAAGGTGAGAAAGGCCTTGCAGGCTCATCTGGCATTTCAGGGCATCCTACAGCAACCACCATTTCACCTCTCTCAGAGGCATTGTTTCAGATTATCTGATGACTTAAGAAGACAGCACTGGATCTGTTTACATTTGGTTCCTGTTTTCAAGGTTATCTTCCCAACTAGGAGGGCTTGAAATGTAACTTTTTTATAAAGTGAAAAGTTAGCTTTGAGCACAGTTCTGCAGTCAGGGTGTCCTGTAGAGCTAGCTTCCCGCAAAGTACATGTGGCTTTGACAGTAATGCCACAGATATGCTATAAAGAGTGTGCATCACCCCTGGGGCTGAAATAATGACCTATTTCTGCTTTTCAGAGCACTGAATAAGGGACTCCTAGCTTTGCCATGTTCTGCACATTGAAGAAAATAAATCGCATTCAATATCTCACCCCAAGGGGTAGTGTGTCCCCTCTGTCTCTCATCTGCCCAGCAGTCTGTCCTTTGGTCTGTCTGTTTCTGTCTCTCACTCACACACAGCAACAAAGCAATCTGAGGCTACAGTGATGTGTGATCATTAAATCACAAGCTGTGAACCGACCTCTTAAGTCAAGTTCCCCTGTGACTATTTCCCTGTCATTTACACATTTTAAATGAACATTTTGCATGCAGACTATGCTTGGAATTACTGGCAGAGAAAACTCATATTCATCTCCAGCCTGATCTCTGTTTCGGAGAGTTTGAAGAAATAGACCTGTGGGATCAGGTTAAAGAGAGAGAGAACTGTTCCCCCTCAGTCAAACAAACCCTCTGAGGGCCCAGTAGCACACGGTGTTTATTCTTTGAATAGCCACATCCCTTTCACAGCCACTTATTTTCCAAAATGAGATTGTAGCGTCTGCTAGGCAGGAAATCCTTTTTTAAAAATTTCTTTTAACAGGTTTCTTGTCTTTTAACAGCTCAAATTAATGTTGTTTCTTTGGATAAATGGAAAACATTCTCCGTCTGCTGATGGTTATATTCTTTCAACAGTTTCTCATATAAAAGAGTTGGTGCTGCATAATCTGAGAGTTTGGTACACAGCAAAAGTGTGTACGTTTTAGGAGAGCATTCTGTGGGCTTCCATTGAATTTCCTGAAGCTTTTGATTTCCCCCTATTCTGGGGGTCTCTTGGTTACACAGTGCTTTAAAGCATGTTTCTTTGTAAAGAAAAAGGACTCTTGGGCCAGGTTATTTACAGTCATGCTAGTTCTCAACTATTTCAGGGAACTGCACCAGTTAACTAGGTTAAGAACTTGGTTGTACCAGCCGCTTATATTCAGCGATGCATGGGGTTTGCAGCAGCACAAGATTCATTGTAGGTTTTAATATAGGCAGAGGAAAGGGACTCAAGCTGCACATACACTGTGGACCAGCACAGAAGTACCAATCACAAAAGCCTGAAGTGCCTGCATTGTCACATGAACACAGTGCTAACTGCCTAACCCTCCCTATTTGGTGGTTTGGATGTTATCCACCTCTTGGGACAAGCCGGAATTTAGGAGTTATAAAACATGCCCTGTTCATGGTCTTATATGGCAGTGTCACACTATTTGCAATAAATACTTTTCTTTCTACAATTCTTTCCTATCTATTCTTGATCTGCTTTCCCTCTGCATTTAAATCCCCATTGATACCAAATATCAAGATACCAAGCATATCTAGATATCATTCCAATAGGGCACAAAAATTATAGCCCTGGCTTCTCCCTGATGGTTGTATCCAGAGTCTATTGAAGGAATCGTTCTCTGTCCTGTTAAAATCTACTGTGTACATTTCAACATAGCCAGTCCAAACCATTTTGGGTGAGTTTTGGCCTGGTCAGCCACAAAAGAGGCTATATCCCAAACAGAGTCTCCCATTTACTGCTGCAGATGAAGGATGCGGGGACATCCTGAGGAAGGGAAATTGGTGATGGAGGAGCAGATAGTCAGCAGGCAAGGAATGGTGAAAAGACAGGAAGGCTTCCTGGTTTTCTGCAGGTTTATCAAGGAGGATGACCTAGTTGCTCAGACAATTTCCTGTGCCTCTTGGCTTAAGTAATGACTCTGAGGCATTTGAAGAGGCTGGATGTCTCCTCCAATCAGGAGCCATGTAGGAGGTACCACTGGTGAGCTAGGGTCCACCAGCTCATACTCCCTGCTGGTCCCAGCAAGCTGCTGGGTGGTGTCTGCAGTCTGAGGACTGCCTATGGACGTGGGTTTGTTACCCATCATTCCTTCACAATTTTCTCTTCTCTGTTTCAGTTTCTCTCCAGTTGCTATGTGACTTTGATTTCATATACGTGTCTGGTGTATGTGAAGCAAAGAATGACTGGGTGCATGTTGAATATTCTACATCTCCTCATAACTGAGTTTATTGACAAGTATGTTGAACTTTGGAAAGATTAACACATTTGTGCACATTTACTTAGGGACAGGTCAGCAACAAACCCCTAGATCTAAAACCCTTGAGCTTGGAAAGCGTTCAGATCCAGATCTGACCTTTTATCTCAGGCCCATTTCTACATGACTTTCCAGGAGATCAACATCACTGTGTCACCCTGAAGTCAGGGAGAAGAGACCTGAAGGGTTTTTTCCCAACTCCCAGTTAATACCCACAATACCATGTGAAAGAAACATGTCCAGTTCCCAATCCTGGCTAGCAGGAGTAGCTTTGGAGCTAGCATATTAAACTTCTAGAATGGGAAAGAAATTGTCACTCAACAGGCAGTTCTATGACCCATTTCAAATTGGTGTTGATAATTCTAAGGAGACACCCATGCACACCTTCTTGGTTGAGAGTATGTT